TTATAAATATCAAATTTATTATTATCAGTATCACTACCTTGATTAAATGCAAAGATTTACAAATGCAATACATCAACTGGAAACCGTGATTGCATGAGTGAATCCGGTTGCGATATATTTTTCTCAGCTCGCATCAACTAAGTTAACCGAAGTGGAGCGCGCACATGATGCAGCCTAGCCTGGAATAACCGAAAAATAAAAGCTTTGCTACGCTGTTGAAATAACAAATGCAATCCTTACTTGAAAAATGTTTCAGACAATACTATCGGTAACCAATAAAATCCCTCTATATTGTACTTTACATCCAGCCGTATACCTTACAATATTTACATGCATCTGTTCAGAAGAATTACAAGCAGGTTGCTATGCTTGTTTTCCATTTGTTGTTCGTTTGTTTTATTTCGTTCGCTCTGTAGTTGTTTTGGTATCGATCGTGTAGCGAGATGTTCGAACCTCCTCTGGGGAAATCGAGACTTATGAAAAAATTAACAAGAGCAACTGCTTCTCTCAGGACCAGGCATGAAGAGATTCTTGAATCGTATATTGTTCAATACAAATAAGTTATCACGTACCGTTTTCCACCATTATCCAAGCTTTCTAACACCTACTCACGCACAAAGAATCTTCGGCTGATTCTGCGAATATTTACTTTGAAGTCCTCGGTCATTTCCTTGAAATTTGATTAACCAATAACTGAACAAGTGCTATAATGGTTTTCTTACCAAAAGACTCAACGTCGGAGATCAGAGCAAATCAAAAATCTTGATTTTAAAACGACCATGGCTTTCAGTTTCGTCTCGGAATTCATTTATTCATTTCTCATTATCAATCTGGCATAGCGATGCAATTGAGCCGTCAAGAAGGTCGTGTTGAAATTTTGAAAACCAAAGGGCGAAGGAACTTCAGTCAGTTGTATGACCTGTGCGTCTCGCTTCGTTTGAAGTGTTCTTTTATGCAAATGTTTAAAAACCATAAGGTCACGAAACAGTTTCATTTACTCACCCCACAAAGCAAGATGCAGTCAGCAGCACTAAACTACTTTCTCACATGTTAAGCAAATCAGACGAAACTTCGACGACTGAATTTCATCATTATTTGAACTCTCATCTGCGAGTGTCATACGCATCAAAAGAGGCTTATTATTCAACTAGCAGCAGTAGTATTTGGATGTTCCGCATAACTAAGTCTATATCCTAAAAAAAAATAGCTGCTATATCGGTGGTTAGACTGTGTTAGTGTTATGCAAATTTGACATTGCCTTTCTCGAAAAGGGTACGTTACTGAAGTAAGCCTGATTGCAAACGCCCATGCCTAGTATCGAAATAGAAATTTACGCATAATTTAGAATTAAAAGGTCGAAAACGATAGAGAAATTTAACAGAATCTGCCCCAACATGCATCGAGCCACTTTGAGATGATTGCTTTCAGAGTTTTATGAAGAAAGGATGTTGAGAAATCTTGCTGCACCAACCTTCAAATTTCCCGCGTTTAATTTATTCGAACAACATTATATATGCTGTGGCAATTTACTTTTTTCGCTTTTAATTTTCGGAGGGGTTTGCTTTTTTTCGGTTTTGCCCTCTTTCTGGTTTTGTTCAACCAGAAAAGGGCAACGTAAATGATTGCTGACATTTGGTCAGTTTAAAAAATAGTGTCGCATGGACCGTATTTGAAAAATTTGCTTCTCCACTTACCAAAATCTAACATCGCTAACGCCCTCGACTGTTATCGATGAATTATACAGGAAGAATTTGCTTCAAATTGGAAAACATATTCTTCTTGATTCATTGGGTCCAGTACAAAAATATTATATTTGAAAAATTCCGACCGGCTCGTGGACACAGCTGTAAAACAGATCATATCCATGAATGGTAAGTTTTGTGTCATTATGACATACATTCCTGGCATACATACATATTTATCATACATACACACATATTTATTCAAACTCATTTACACAAATGACATACATAAATTCGAAAAGGGAATTTTGAGGTTAACCCTTTCACAAAAAGGGCAAATTTTTAAATTATTTTTTTAATTTAGTCGGCCCCATACGATTACATAACCCTATTCGAACCTGTTCAAATTTTAAAATTGATTCGTCTCCAATCTTAAGTAAATGACTGTTATTTGATCTCTAGGCTGTTTTTTTAAGAGTAAATGTCAATAAAAATCACAGATTATCGAAAAAGTCGCGGACACGGTCAAAAATCGATTTGGTTCATTTCTTGCCTGTGGGTAGCCTTATCCAGTAAACAAACGGAAATGGGGTTAGATTTTTGAAATATGCACTTTAACGGGAAT